TGGAATGATTTAATGCAATTTGAATCACATTGGATCTAATAAAATGACCCGAGTTTGCAGATTGGTGATTACTTATAAAGGGTTTTACGATGGATTTTAAATCTTCGAGTAGGCAAAATTGTGTAATAAAATTTATTTCTTTGCTTTGATAAAAAATTACACTCAAGTTTATAACTCGTTTTTCTTGAGGAAATTGTAAAAGAAACTATTAGTATATTGATGACGTTAATGCTAATGACGTTATATTCCAAGAATGTAGAGGGAAAAGGCTAAGCAAGGTGCACTCCAAATATTCTTTTTTTTTTTTCGTTCAAAAAAAATTCTATTTTCTCAGCAGTTTTTTTAATAAATTTAAAAGAAACTGCTTAATTGTATTTTTTTAATAATTCTAAATCTTTTCATTTATTGATATTGCTTGTTCGACTAAACTTTTTTTATGTATCATTAACTTTTTTCCTTTTTGCTTTTCTTTTATAAAATGATTAAAAAGTCAAAGTTCATAAAATAGTAACATTTCTGGATATTCTTTTATTTAGCATGGAATTATGTTACGAATTTAAAACAAATAAAGGCACCAAACTTAAAGTAATTATATGTAATTCAGAAAGTAGCGATTGCTTAGTGGTTAAATCAGTGGGCTGTCATTGTGAAGGTTCGATACCCAGCTTGAAGCCCACTTAGCTTCAGATTGATGGGTACCAGACCATGACCCACCTGGCTTACAATGGGCTGTTGCGGGAATACTTTGCTTCATATAATTTGGAGAATTTTAATCCAAACGCTATTAAGAACAAAAACATTTTTTCTAAGTGCTATTTGGAAAATTAATTATGCATAAACATTTGGAATTTTTAGCACTCTCCCACTGAAAAAATAGTCATTATGACACTGCGATTCTTCCCGTAAAACAATCTTATTTTGAGACATAATCAACGTGGTGTTCCTTCCTTAATTTGAGCTTCTTCGAGTTTCTGACTTCCTGAATTTAGATAATGTAGTTTAGTTCTCCAGATTTTTCTTTGAACCATTTCTTAGAACACTTTCTCTTTCCAAAATACCTTTTTTCTTCATAGTAATAAAAGAGTCACGTTATAATATTTTCCATTGTTCACTAAAGAATGTTTTCATTGTGATCCTTTGGGATGATCCAAATGATCATATAGTTGCCCATTATCACTTATTTTGAAGATATTTAAAAGATTTGCCCTAATTTTTGTTCTATAGAAGAAAGTGAAAGCAACTACAAAATTAATTTTTTTGCGTCAATATATAAGGCAACTCGAATTTTCGAAAGTCACAGTTATCGTTTGCAGTTGCTTGTCTCTAAAGTTCCAGGCAACGAAAATCAAACTCAATTCAAAATGACTGGATTTTCAGTGAGTATAATATTATAAAATATTCCTTTTATGAAACAACTGATAATATTATTATTAATTACTTTATAAATCAATAATACATTTATTTATAATAGTGATATTCGAAGTATTAATTGGAAAAAATTTAAAAACGTAGATAATCAAAATAGTTTAGATATTAGTATAACATCCAATTTCATATACAGTGAAACTAAATGAAGTTGACCACACTTGTGGACTACCTGTGGACTACCTGTCTAAATTGAAATCTATAATCACTCTCGGAATTAATAATGTTTAGTTAAATAAACCAAAATTTTTGTAACTTGACTATCTGTTCATCATGTATGTTGACCACTAAAATAAGGGATATTTGTCTAGGAGTATTAGAGAATGCTTTTCTGATCCATTCAAAAGTTGACAGAAATAAAAAAAATCTTAGAAAATGTCCTTTTCCTTCATGTTGTGTATTAGAGTTTTATTACACCATCTTTAACTATACGATATTCAAAATATAATTGAAAAAAATGAATAAAGGCTAGATAATTATAAAGTTTAGATATTACTATCTACAACCAATTTAATATTAAAGAAAAGCTTGTCAAGTTGACCACACTTATAAGTTAACAGCATGTCTAAATTGAAATCTATTATCGCGAACAGAATTTATCCTGTTTAATAAAATGAACCAACATTTCTGTAACATGATCACATGTTCATATTAATCGCTGAAATAAGTTATATTTATCTAGGAGTATTAGAGAATGCTATTCTGAACCATTCATAAGTTGACAGTAATAAAAAAAAATCGAAATATTCTTTGCTATTATGTTGTGTATTAGAATTTTATTATACTAGCTTTTACCGTGCAGTATTCTAAAAATAATTAAACAAATTTTTAAAAAAGGTTAGATAATCATAAAGATTAGATATAGGTAATCTAATTTAATATTAAAAAAAAGATTGTCAAGTTGACCACTTTTGTAAGTTGACTACGTGTCTAAATTGAAATCTATTATCACGAACGGAATTTATCCTATTTAATAAAATAAGCCAAAATTTTTGTAACATGACCACATGTTCATTAAATGTTGACCGCTGAAATAAGTCATATTTGTTTAGGAGCTCCTAGGTTACAACAAATAAAAAAGAATCTTCGAAAATGTCCCTTGCTATTATGTGCATTAGAATTTCACTAAATTCGTAAAATAATATAAAAAGTTAACATTTGAGAGTTGACCATAAGGGAAAACTATCGAGAAACTTTTGTCTGAAAAATATATGTAAGATCATGTAACAAAATTACATCATATTCATTTCAACATATTATGAAATTATTTATTAAAATATCTTGATTTGATACGGATTACAGATATATTTCTTTAAACTTATGAGTTTAATGTTGAATTTATGTAACGAATTGGGATTCATTCTGGTTATTAATATAATTACGATGGATGGTGTCCTATTTGAAGAATAAAATTTTAAAGCCAAACAAATTTCTTCAATTTGAATTTGATTGATAACTACGTAATATATGAAACAAGCGCATTGTAAATAACATAACATATATCAAAATAACATGATATATAAACTGACTGAAAAAAAATCCCCTTCTATACGTCGACCACTAAAGCTAGTCACCACAAATAAGTTGAGTTAAAACTTGTTTTTTAATCGATAAAATACAGCTTTTTTTTAAATTTTTATTAGATTCAAAAATTAGTTGCTTGAAAATAATTAAATAAATCAATGTATTCCATATTGAAAATATTCTTAACAATGTTTCTTATAATGCTATTGCTATAAGAACATTAATTTGTTTAGTTGATGCACTGAATAGTGAAGCTAAAATAATTCTTGACATTAACATTAGACCTGAGTTAGTAGCCCGTTAGCTAGAAGCCCGTGGCCGGTAGACGCTATTAACTTAGAGGCTACTTTTTTTTTAAAAAAAAAACCTAATAAGTAAGTGACTGATATCGATTGGTCCTTTTAATTTAATATCCACTTTCTGAAAACTTTTCTTTTTGGTAAGGAAAAATTATAATTTTGATAAAAATTGATATTTGAAGTAATCTACGGCTATAAAAATTGTAAAAGTTATCCGGCTGGTTTTGACACATTTTTTTTTAAAAAAGCTGCATTAAAATTTTAACTGTATATTTGGTAAGCAGGAGTCTCATAACTGTAATTTTAAAGTTAAGTTTAAAAATTTATGAAAAAGTTTTCAATATAAGAACAAATTTGTGCTTAAAAACTCTAAAATTTGTGATGAATAAATTTTAAAATAATTTTTTTTCTAGATCATTAATGTAATTAGTTGTGTTTTGAACTAGAATCTCCACAAAAAAAATTTTTAAAGACAATGAAGTAGAACTAAATGAATTGTTTAATATTAAATTTTTTGGGGAAAATTCTAAATATTCTAAATTAAATCTTAATAAAAATAAGATTTTAGTTCAAAGCTTTAGCTTAGGTTTTTGTTCAAAGCATTGCTTACATTATAGAAAATTTACAAATAGAACTTTAAAGAATTCTATAATAAACTTTTTCTGTAATGTGTGTAATCGTAAGGAATTTTTCTCAAATTCCTTACGTTCTTCAGAAAAAGCTTTTAAAATGCAAGAAAATTATGAGAAGAAAATGAATAATTTGAAAATAAATTTCCGAAAATAAATTTTATTTGTCTTAAAAATATGATTTATTAAAAAAAAGGTTAAAACTCTCAAAGCATAAAAAAATAATAATAAAATCAAAAACATTTTAGTTTTGCTTTTGGGATTCTACTTCCGGTTACTGTTTTGCCTGTCAACATACGAAAAACTACTCCAGCTTCATTTTAAAAAATATAAAGGGTTTTGAATGCCAATGATCTAAAGTTTTAAATATAGACAGTAACAAAGAAAAAACATTACATTTTGGTCGAAATTGCCGATTTTCATCTAATCGAATGCCTAAAACATTGAAGTCGTAGATTTATTTTTTGCAAAAAATCACATTGAAAAAAATTTTGTCAGGAATATTTCTACTACATATTGAGTGCGGATGTAATACTATTTGACGATCACGAGGAGTGCATTCATTTTCAATCACGGCTACCACAATTTTAATTATAAAAGCCGTATTAAGATAATGTGACTAGCTCAAAATAAGTTAGAAAATATTAACTTATTTTTTGTACTTTAAGTTACCCAAAAATTCGTCTGAATGCTTAAGATTTACTTATATAGTGCAGAGGAATTCTGCATATATTGTGCAGATCAATACATGAAATCATTATCTTTTCGACTGAATGATAAAAGCCATACAACTATTACATGCTGTTAGAAATAATTACTAATTTGAACCTTTGGAAATTTTAAGAAATTTGTATTTTTCAGTAATTAGTCTAAAAATACAAAACCAAAATTATTATTAAATTATAAAATTTCATGCTATTTAATATGAAATGCTTGAAGAAATTAAAAGTTAAACTATTTTAAAATGAAAAAATTGAATAAGACATTATCTTTTCGACTGATTGATGAGGCATAAATTATTGCGTCTTTTGAGCTTATCTTCAAAAGCTGAGCTTATAATTAATTAAATTTTAAAACTTTTACCTATGCTTTGGATTAACATAGTCTTTCATTCTCCTTTCAGCTTTCGATTTTTACTGTAGCTATCGTCTTCGGACTTTCGTCTGCCACTCACGGTGGTAGTCGCGTTGTTGTAAAACCTGCAGCTTCTGTCTCATACTCCAATCCTGCTTATGCGTACCCTCCACTTCCTCTACCTCCAGCTCCAACTGCAACCACTTACAGATATGACTTCCGATACAATCCATTAAAATACGGATATGCTTCACCCTCTTTCCCTGTTGCACCATTGCCTCAAGCAGTACCAGTGCCACAGCAATACGCTGTTTCTGCATATCCTGTATCCTATTCATGGGCAGCATATGGACCTCCCTCTGTACCAGCAGTTCCTGCTATGCCAGCCTATGCTCCACCAGCGTACAGCCCTTCACCAGCTTACAGCTCTCCACCAGCGTACAGCCCTCCACATGCTCATCATTTCATCGATCGTCAACTTGCTGCTGCTGCAGCAGCAGCAGCTGCACATCGTTATCATCACCACCATCACTAATTGTAAGTCTTAATTGAAATTAATAATTATTATTATTTTATCGATCAAGTTTCAATCAAATAAATTTCTTTTCTTATCTGCGAAAATAGAAACTTATAATCGAAAATTTAACCACTTTCCAATTATTTAGAGCATTTAAGTATTTACTAAAATCTTGTGTCTGATGACAATGAAAATTTATATTTATTTTCGATCTCTATAAACAGCATTTATTATCATTTTATCACAAATAGAATTTATCGTTTATAAAAATCCAACCACTTTTCAATTAACTTCTCAATTAACGCACAACATAAAAACGTTCGGATCAAATTACGGTGAAAAGTACTGGCACCCTAAACATTCGCAAAATCCCTTTTTACCGTAAAATTTTATACCGTAATTTTTACAATAATATTTATCTAATAACAATGATTCTATGATTTTACGGTAAATATTACTGTAAAAATTACAATACATCAGATTTTTTTTATGTAAAATTTTACGCTAAAATGGATTTCACAGTAAATTGTTCTGGCACCCTGAGTGCCTGTACTTTTTACCGAAACTTTATCTAGAATTTTTTACAGTGTAGAGCTCAGTGCTGGGTAACAGTACTAGCTTCTAACGTCTCCACATTAATGAGAGCAGAATCAATTTCGAATAATTTTTTATTTTTATTTTTCGGACAGCTCAATTTTTTTATTGTCCATGTCGAATGCGATAAAAGTTAAAATTGTCACAAGTTTTAAGATTCACTTATTTCAAGTGGGCAAAATAAGAGAAAATAATTGTTGGTTCTTAAAACTAATAAACTGAAACCTGAACTTAAAATTAGCTAATACAATAAATATTTGTTTTGATTAAAAAATGGACTGTAATTTTTTTCTGTAATGGTAAATTTCAAATAGAATAACAACAACAAAAAATTTCAATGAACTTTAATGACTTATTTATTTAATACCGTTTAGTTCTTACTTGAGTAACGTATTAGTAAGTCTAGTTTAGTTTAATAAAGTAAATTTATTAAGTAACTTTAGTTTCTAATTATGCCGGGATAGCCTGGGTGGTAGGGAACTGTATTCACGTTCGCGTCGAATCCAACTGGCTGAAGATTCAGGATGTTGTAAATAGTGACTGGTGCATGTTAAATCTACCAGGTCACAAAGTCCTCTATGTTCTCATACCAAATTATCCCCCTGTACTGGATTGGAGTTTGATCGCTTTCTGGTTCAGGTCAAAATTCCGGTCTGTTCAAGAATGAATGGATGTATGAATAGGTCCACCATGTAAACGGGTGAGAAAGAAGTCAAACTCTTGTCCATAGATGGCGACACGGGAAAACAAAAACAATCGAACCCCCAGTGTCTTAATGGCTGACGATAACAACAACAATTCTTAATTATGTAGCTTTATCGCTTGTATAAGAATTTATAAGTGATAAAATGAAAAATAGAAAATATTCATAATTTTTTTTATTTTGTATTTTAGGTTGTATTGAATATTTATTGCAGTACTGTAACAAACTATGTATCATTATTGAAGAAAGTATGTAAATGTATGTAAATGCCCTTGAATATGTATTTATTCTGTAGTTTTAGTTTGAAGAATTTAAATAAAATTTATTAAGAGTTATGAATCAGTATTTTTATATGTTATTGTATTGCTTTACATTTTGTAATAAGCTCATTGGACTAAATTACTCTCTCAACAAACATCATGAAAAACTTAATTTAAATCCGAGTAACTCCGTACCTGGATTTCTTGATAATTACCTGGATTCAGTTAGTAAAGTGTGCTTGCGCTGTTTTGCAAGTACGATACGCAAAAAAGGGGGGAAATGAATTACTCTGATTAATTATTTGATCTAATGTGAAAACGATACTTTACGTTATGAAGTCAGACACGAAATGTAGAATCAAGCACGTATACGTGGCATCGGCACATGTAGCAAAATATAGCACCGGCATGTAGAATCAAGCATACGACGCCAGAATGCACAGATTAATGATGATTACGTATAGAGCAAAACCAGGATTCTTATTTTGCTAGCGAACATTTCATACGGACCAACCTGAATAACTTTTGGACGAATGATCGAATCTTCACGTTATAGGACTCAATCTTACTGGTTCAAAGGGTTCAACTGGTTTTTTGGACGGATTCGAATTTGTGACCCTTAAAATGTAGGAATTAGCATCAATTTGGGAAATATATACTCTCTACCCTCTGAGCCACCATGGCTCAAATGTACAATCTTAAATTATTTTCTCAAGACTGATAACTTCGTAACTATATTCTTTTACAATTTTGAAGAAAATAAACCATAAGTTTTATTAAAGCAACGCCTTTATTTCCTTCGTCGTTTAAATTATGACATTGTAAAGTAATACTCATCATCAAAAATTTGTTTACGAACGAAAAAGATTATAAATTTAAGTTAAGTTCAAGTTGGAGTAATGAAGAAGCCTATTTTCTAAATATAAGCTTTCAATTTTTGTTTGTTTCGAAGCTGTATCATTTAGGTATAACTTCTGTGTTCTAAGTATGACTGATTTCTGTGCGTTTTGTATTTTATTATCCATTTAAAAGCAGTAGTCAATATTAATACTATGTTTTTAATTCAATCTACAATTTTATAATTTTGAAGAAAATAAACCATAAGTTTTATTAAAGCAACGCCTTTATTTCCTTCGTCGTTTAAATTATGGCATTGTAAAGTAATACTCATCATCAAAAATTTGTTTACGAACGAAAAAGATTATAAGTTTAAGTTAAGTTCAAGTTGGAGTAATGAAGAAGCCTATTTACTAAAAATAAGTTTTTAATTTTCGTTTATTTCGAAGCTGCATCATTTAGGTATAACTTCTGTGTTCTAAGTATGACTGATTTCTGTGCGTTTTGTATTTTATTATCCATTTAAAAGCAGTAGTCAATATTAATACTATGTTTTTAATTCAAGATAGATACTCAAAGAAAAAATTTCTGTTAAAATTACAATACTGTACAGTAATGACATTTCCGGTAAAATATATGTTACCGTAGCAAGAGAATGTCGATTTTCACCGGTGAATGTCAATAAATGCATAGTCGCTTTGTTGAATGTCCGAAATATTTATTATATCCGATTTTATGTCAATTATTTCGTTGATATTATTATATCTATTCGATATTTTAATATCTGCTGAGAACACATTAGGAGAAACATCAGTGTTCGATGTACCCGTTAAATACATACTGGCTAGTGGCACTTGACCTTAAAACAATATTGATGTAGGGCCTACCGGGCAATGCCACTAAACCTTAAAAACCATCAGGTTGTACCATCAGGTCATCATGTAGGGTATACCGGGCAATGGCACTTAACTAGAACTAGTATATATTTCGGACATTTACCAAAGCGATTATGTGATTGTCATTATTCACCGGTGAAAGTTAACAACCACTAAATATATATATATATATATAAAAATATGGGTTTATGAAACCAAAATGTACGATATTTTAATTATTTATTCGGTAATTTTTTTCGTCCATATGGTAACGGTTTACCGGAAATTCTGTTGTTTAAAACATAATACAAATGGTTATAGTTTTTATTACCAGACATTTAGCGAAAAATACAATAATGAAAAGTGAATTAAATCGAATAAATTGCTATGGTGCTATGCTCTAAGATAACATACTAAAATGAAAAAAAATTTACCATATTCACTAAATTTTATAACATATTATCAAATTATACTTCATGGTTAATTTCGCAAAAATCATTACGGTAAATTTTGTTTTATTCTGATAGCTATGATCATACTTTTTTCCTCACTGTTGTGGCCTTTACAGTAATAGAAAACGTCATTTTTTGTATAATATTTAATTAAATAATATTATACAAAATAAATTTTTAAACAAGCAATAAAAATAAAACGAAATTGTTAAAATATGAATTTTATTTTAAATAGGAAACAAGAAAATGCAAATCTCATAAAGTATATAAATAATGAACTAATGCTTAAACAATGAAATTTTCTAATATATTGTTATTGGATCAATAACATATTGAACAATTTCATACTCGTGTTATACCGGCTTCTATCCAATGCCTTTCATCGAAATTAACTTGAACTCCAACCTTAGGATATTTATTGTTAGGATATCGGATATCTATTGTTTAAAACTCTGGAAATAGAAGAATCATTTTCGATTGGACGGTGCCTGAAAAGAAACAAAATATACCATTACTGTTGTTTGAAGTTTGCATTTCAATAAAATTATTTGAAGTTATCGGCTAATCTTTTAAGTTTATTATTTGACAATATTTACGATAAGTCACACCTTTCAGAAGGATATTTTTTAATTTTTGAATAAATACCACCCTACCTTATTGAAAAGAAAAGCAGAAAATTAATTATTGTTTTTCGTATTTCTCTTAATGCTTTAACTTCACAGAGTCTTTAAAAATAAAGGAATTACTAAATATCTATGAATCACTAAATATCTAATGGATCATTAAACATCTATGAATCTCTAAATATCCATGAATCATTAGATATCTAATGAATCGCTAAATATCTATGAATTACTAAATATCTATATCTCACTAAATATCTATGAATCGCCAAATATCTAATGAATCATTAATTATCTATTAATCACTAATTGTTTAATGAATCACTAAATATCTATATTAGTTTGAAAGAGAAGTTCAAATTTTTCTATCTTTCAATTTGATTCAAATATTGTTAATAAGTAAATATTTTCATAAATAAATATTCTCAGTTAACTAAATTGCAATTGTTTTTTATTTAAGAAAAGATTTTAGTAAATAATTTATGTAATATATTATTTGTATCAAGTATTTTTTATGTAACGTACTTTTTATAAAATACAATTTCTTATTGAATTTTAAATAGTGAATTTGTATGTTTGGATCTTTTAACAAAAATAAAATGGCGTTTTAAAGTTCTTTTAAACTTGTCAGAAATCCTTTTTTTTGAATTTGCAGTAATGTATATACGACATTTTTATCATGCATTTTTTTCAAAATAAAGTGCATACTGATATCAAAAAGCGTTTTATGTATTTTCTTATTCCCACAAAATAAGAATAAAAAAAATTCTACTTCATTTTTAAGAAAAAAATATTTATTTTCTTAATTTAGTGCTTTTGTGATGCTTTTCAACCGCTGGATTTGCTCAAACTAATTTGATTAAGCTATTTAGGCTTAGGTCTTTATAATATTTAAAGAAGAATCCCTCTTTATTAATTTTGATAAAGTTTTGGAAGTGCAATCTACTTACGTTGTTATTTACTTCTTCAAGAGAGTGTATCCGACAGCAGCAGGAACAGCAGCAACGGCAACTGGAGCAGGAACATATTGAACGTAACTACTGGATGCAGCAGGAGCGTAGGCGTAAGCATAGGGAACACCAAGACTGTAGGATGCAGTAGGAGTAGAATATCCAACTGGAATAATTGGACCCAATTGGGCTGTTGCCAAAGCCAAAGCGCAGATGAAAACGATTGCACTCTGAAAGACAAATAATTCATGTATTTTTTTGAAAAATAAAAAAAAATTATTTAAATTTGTTGCGTAGGCAACGTAATATGAGCATAAACAGTTAATCAATCATTGTAAATATCTATGAATCACTAAATATCTAATGAACCACTAAATAGCTATGAATAACTGAACATCTATGAATCACCAAATATCTATAAATCCATATATATCAACGACTCACTAAATATCCAATGAATCACTAAATATCTTTGAATCACTAAATATCTATGAATCCCTAAAGATCTATGAATCACTAAATATCTAATGAATCACTAAATATCTAATGAATCACTAAATATGTATATAAGCTTTAAAGAAAAAAGTTCACATTTTTTTTATCCTTTAATTTGATTCAAATACTGGTTCAAAGTCATATTACCTAGCTTACTATAAAATCAGTGTGGTGAAAAACTAAATGTAAATGTATATTATACAAAATAAATTATCTTCGAGCATTAATTTTGTTAAATTCCATTTGCCCCTTAGTCTAATTACAGAAATTAGCAATACTTTTTTTCTCAATTTGCTTTCAAGTCTTTCAATGTTGAATCTTGTAATCGAAGTTTCCATCCCCTTTCAACCAAACCTTTGTTCAACCTTATCACCAAAGGATAATCATGAAAAGAATTATTAAGAAACACGGATTTATGCTTTGGTTTAGTCTGCCAAATTTCTTCCTTTCTTACTGATGTTGAGTTGTGAATTGTAATTATTAAGAAAATTTTAAATAATCACCATCATCATTTAACTTTTTTTATCATCTTTGGCAGTAATTTTGATTAAAAATTTAATTGAAAATATACAGTGTGTTCAATTCAATTTAAACTTACTCCCTTGAGTTAACTTTTTAAAAATTTAATTCTTAAATATTTCTGAAACACGTTAATTTCGTTTTGAAGGGAGACATTCTAAAATCTACTTTTAGAAAACGGAGTTAGTGGTTCTCGAAATTAAATATTTTTTGTTTGAAGGTTTATGAGGGTGAAAAGACATTGGCGAAAGCTGACCGAGCTCTGTTTTCGATGACTATGTAAGTTTCAGTTATTTCATGATCGCCATAAGCCGGTTTTTTCGTCCTATTACCGCCACAGAGAACTTAACATCTATCAAAGTTTCAACCGCTACACTTCCAACCTCAAACTTCAACTGGAGTTTTGTAAATGAACTGTTAGAATTTTCATACAAAAATTATAATAAAATAACTTGCAGCTGTCTGTCTATCCAATTAATCGTAAAGTTTACTGTTAGGAACACTTCTTTACCTTTACGGTTTTTAAACAGTTTCCAACTGGTATAATTAAAAAACCCTGAATACAAAACTATACTCTTCTGTTACCATTTACAATTAGCATAGTGTAAAAATCGTAAAAATGAAATTAAACTGAGCATTGAAGCTAGATTGTGCTAGGCTTTTTGTTGGGAAATGGACTGAGTTATGATGTAGCTGAGTTGCATTTTGTCAGGTTATCCATGAAACGTTGCTTAATTAGTTTATCTAGTAGTGCCATCTTTCGAGAAAAAGGGGAAATTCAAAACTTTTTGTGGTCACCAATTGAAATGTGCAGGATATTGGAAGCTCCTCATGTCTTTAAAAAATTGAAAAAATATAGTAGCTTCAACACTTTTATTCGAACCCCCGTTAAACCGGTCACGAGATTCTCAGAATAGCCGTAATAGAAATTAAATAGGTATTTGGTTAATGACAAAATAAGGTGACAACAATATGATAAGCAATAAGTGATTTAAGGTATAAAAAAAAAGAGCTTGAATTTCATAGTTAACTTTTATTAAGCGAAAAAGAATAGAATTTCATTTCGTTTCAAACTAATTTCTTTGCATTAAAGAAAACCTTTTAGTAGTAATACCTTTAATAAATTCAGTTAGGTCATAAATAACTACAAAAAATAAAGAGGTTTTTAAATTGGCATATAGTTATTTATCTTAAAGTGATTTTTATAAAATAGATAATATTACGCTTATATATATGACTCACTTTTATATGTTGATTTTTATAAAAAGTTAGATTTTTTATCGTCTTGAAAAAAAACTTTAAAACTTATTTGTAAAATTCAATATTAATTTGTAATTCTTTAAATTAACACTAATGTGAGTTTGATTTATATTATATAAGATTGAAAAAGAGGTAATACATTCAATAATATTCAAACTCGAATGAGAGAGTATAGAATGTAGAATGTTATACTTACGATGGATTTCATTGTCAATAAAAAGTTCTTTGAGAACAAATTTCAGAGAGTAAGAAACAGATTGTATTTAGCAGATGAACTCTTGATCTGTAGAGCGGAATTTCATTCTTTTATAGTTTTCCCAAAACTCTTTCAAGAAAAGAACAAAAAAATTACAAAAAATCATCTAAGGGTGAGCTTATGACCTCAAGGCAGCAAGTTGTGATTGTTGCCAAATAAGAATGACAAAAGATGTGAAAAAAACGGCACTTTGATGTATAAAGAACTCTTTATAAATTCCAATAATGTCACCTTTAATCTTCATTATCATTCCCACAACATGGGACGATGGTTAGTTGTTTTACTTCATATTCATTTATTTATTGGGTGCACACGTGAAGGAATATGAGAAGATTTTCACGAATTTCGAATAAAAAAATATCCATCGGCGCTTCTGTGTCGCGACAGAATGGGGTTAGGTAAACTGTCGCAAAATGAGTCAATAGTTGGACATTTCAAGGTTTAGGAATGCAATACATCAAAACATGCTAACTAGGTGTTATAAATCATGAAGCATAAACACCTTTCAAAAAACGCGTCGATTTTTTTAAAATCAAACATTTCATTGTAAGAAGGAGCAACATGGCAATAAAATGTGTGTACTATATTACAAACATAATTGAAGTTTTTGCAAATGAAATTTTAAAGCTTTAATTAACATATTAGCTTTAAAAATTATAAAGCTTTCTTTCAATTAAAATTAATTAACTTATGACTTTTATAAAAATTCAATACTAAGTAATGAATGTACGAATTATGTTTCAACGTGTTCATACTCGTAAATAAAACTTAAAAGGAGAGCATAAAGTATATTAAAGGAAGAAAATCCTTTATTTTAACTACATTTTCATTAAGAAAGAATGAAAACGCTTGGGTATTTTAAGCAAACATAAAAAATAGTTTCTAAAAGAGTAACATATATACACTGTAAAAAATTCCGGATCAAATTACGGTAAAAAATACGTCTATTTTTACCGGAATATGTTAAAGAACAAAAAATCTGATGTAACGTAATTTTTGCAGAAAAAATTACCGCGATCTCACTGAATTCCTCAAATTAATAAAATATTACTGCAAAAAACAAGTTATAATATTTCGCTGTAAAAATGGATTTTCATATAATTTTGATTACAAAACCAAAACGTATGATCATATGATATTTAAACCATTCATCTGATAATTTTCCGTTTGTATCGCGACTGTTTAAAGAAATGTCTAGTTTTTTATATTATAGTTCTTATTGCCACACATTTAGTAAAAACAAACGCTGAAATAATTTATTCGAATAAATGATTTTTAGGACATGCTGTAAAGTAACAAGATTAAATTGCCAAATTTTTACATATTTACTACTGAACAGCATGGCAATAAAACTGTATTTATTGTTAATTTTACCAAAAGTCAATTTTACAAAGCACTACGGTAAGAATTGCTGTGTTTTTTCTTATTCCCATAGAGACAGAAGCACAATTAATTTTATCATATACTGAAAGATTTGAAAGTATTTTTTCTCTATATGCAAAATTCATTAATAATAAAATTAAAATGTTTATCCATAGCATATTTCATAAAATTAATTAGAAATTATGTGAACTTTACGATTTAGTTTTGAAATTGCACAGATTTCAACTCGTTTATACTTTTTTTCAGAATAAAGCTTTTAAATGTTCCTCTTATTTATCATTTTTTTCTTAAAAATACTAAAATGTAAATATAAAAATTAATTGCTAAGGCATTTTTGTTAAACATTGTATACTGTAGAAAATTATTTTTTCTCTTGTTTACTTCGTTACCAATTTTCAGTGCACCATGTTTGAATTAATGTATGTATGAATCTTAGAGTAAATCAAAATTCATAACATTTGATCTCTTACCGAATTTCAATTCATCAATCCAAATTTCAGAAATAATCCTTGATCTTGCTTATGAGGTAAATATTTTTTAATGTATGGAGTATGAATATGTAGATCAGTGATTCTCAACCTTTTTTTTTTGTTTCGGCACACTTTTAATGATTTCGAAATTTGACGGTACACAGCGAAAAAAATTAGATTAAAAAGTGTTTAATTACCTATTTTACGCTGTGTTGAATAGTTTGTGATAATAATTTTGAATGTGAAATAAAATAATGTGTACTACAAAAACACACTTATTAAGGTATTAATTATATCTTTCGATCAATTTTTTATTAGTTAGTAACAGTTATTTATTTTTTTGCTAGTTAATAATTGTTAACTTGTTTTCTATAGTTATTAACAGTTAGATTTCTTTTACATTAACTGTTATTGTTTTGTGATTTCTTGTTAACTAGTTTTTTTGCTAATTATTAATTGTTAGCTTAATTTTTGCTAGTTATCCTTTGTTAATTTATTTTTTATATATTTGTTTTTTTAGTTATCCTTTGTTAATTTGTTTATTAATTGCATAGCTTACTTTAATAATTAGCTCTTACAACATTTTTTAAAATTGTGTGTCATATACAATTTAAACACTTCCATCTTATTTTAAGATTGTCAGAGACAAGACAATCGCCGACAAAGATGTTCACGCGGTTAAAGCGTGGAAAAATTTTAAAAAGTATAGATATATATATAATATTATATATACTTTTCTTTAATTTAAACTTTACTCATAATAGAAAAAGCATTATAATTTTTATTGTATCATTTCTAATATTTGGCGGCACATTTTAAGAATTTAGCGTCACACAAAAGTGCCGTGGCACATTGGTTGAGGATCACTGATGTAGATATGATGTAGATTAGAGCAAGTCAAAATTCAAAATATTTGATCTTTCACCTAGTTTCAATTCAAATTTCAGAAATAATCTTTGCAGTTGTTTAAGAAGTAAATATTTCTTTTTCGAGATTTAGTCGGTCGACTCATCAGTAACATATTTCTAAACTGGTCTTTTTTTAGCGCTATCGAAAACTATACTCGAAATTAAAACATTATAGTGCAATTAAAATGACATTACCTTAAAAACATTAGATATTTTTACCCTTGCACGTCCAGATGAGCGTTTAAATGTAACCAGGATTAAATGTACCGATTAAGCACTTCTTAAATTTTAATGCAAATCAACAAAACACTAGATGGGGCAGAGTAGCTACACCAAACGGGAGGCAAAACATTGACTTTTGACATAATTCTTACTGAATTTAATTAAATAAGAATTTTAAAGCAAAATAAGCTACTTTTCCTTATTTTCTTATTCATGCTTATTTTTAATTAAAATTAAGTTTTACCCAGTTGTAGAGCATAAGAAATTAATTGATTGTTAAAGTTGAAGTTGTAATAAGGCATTTATTTTATAATTTCATTTTATTATATCATATTAATATCATTTTATCATTTTCACAAAAAGAAAGGCATATATTTGAACATAATAATTCATTCTAAACTGAGAAAAAGATTGGTCCGAACAACCATAATATGCTAAAGTTTACCGTGTTTCCATCAAAAAGCTAGGTAACTTTTACTGACTCGCTTTGGTAATGATTTTGATTAAATTTACAATAAGATATAGTGTTACAATATGTAATAAAATTCGGTAAATGTTGCAAAATATGGTAATTTTATTATGATACATTAGAGCAGGGCATGAAAAACCATTTATTCGAATAAATTTATTTTTCAGGTTTGCATTTTTACTAAATGTGTGGTAAAATAAGAACCAGTAAACCGTTGTCATATGAACGGAAAAAAATAGCAAATGGAATGGTTTAAATGCCGTGGTTTCAAAAACAGAATTGCAGATGTTTTTTTCTACCAGAAATGTCATTACTATACAGTAAGATAATTTTTTCTTCGCGTAATAAGTCTTCTTTTTTATTAATTATGCGCTGCATTTACTCCATCTATGATTATTCATGATTAATACTTTCTAGTTATTAAGCCTTAATACTTTGATTTATATTCAAAATCGAAGTGTTAACGTAGATATATAATGTAATTAATATGCGTTCGAAAAAGATTTATATTTTTTTCTATTTATTTATTTATTTTGTAATCTAACATACCCGAGAGGACATGTTAGCCTACAGAAAACAAAATTTTGAACAAGAGGGCAAACTTTTGAAATAAGAGAGGAATGAACTAGCCCAGGGATGGCGCACCAATGGCACGAGTGCCATTTATGACACGAGATACAATATTTTGGGCACGCCACCCATCACAAAGTTCACTATGAAGCATGTTAACAATTAAATTAAAATTCAAAAACAAACTATTGACAAAAAAATTAACAATTAATGCCAAAAAAAACAATTAATAACCATAAAAAACAAGCTAACAATAAATAACTAGGAAAAAAATTAACAGTCCAGGTTAAACTAACATACAATCTAATGTAAGTTGTGTGTCATCTGATTTGCAACAACAGAAGTCACGCTGATGTTACTTTAAATTGAATTAAGAGTATAACTGAGATATTGCAAAATGTTTTTTTTCCATAGTATATAAAGAGTTTTGAGTTGATAGTATTCAGTATTATTACTTTCCCACACAAAGTCACTATCACAAAGTCAAAATTATTTGATGGCACGTCTATGACCACATTAAACAATTTCTTAGAAAAAATGGCACGTTGGTGCAAAAAGGTTCGCCACCCCTGAACTAGCCCTTCTTTTTTCTCTTTAACCCTGATTGTACTCAGAACGGTGCAAAATAAACTATCGCAGGTCCTGTAAGTTATCCCATAACAATGGAATAAATTTTCTCAAGTGTATATTTTGTTCAAATTATATAAAAAAAAGGGAAATTATGCCATGAAAAACATGTTATGAAAATGATTGACGATTGGAAATACACCTTCAAACAGCTTACTTCATTTTACATTGGTTCTATACTGATACAATCGCCGGCCATGTGTCCAAGCGGTTAGCTTGCCTGACTGCGATGCCAATGGATTCGGGTTTGAATCCCGCTCAGGGCATGAATGTTTCTCTCTGTGCTGTCCACTGTTATGTGAACGTGGCCCACCCTATGAACGGGTACCTGTGACGTTGGTAATGCTGTTCGTCTCCTTGACTAAGGTTCACAGGTGCCCAAAAGGTAACGTTAAAGAACAATACTTCTGGCATCACATCCAAGGCAAGTGACAGAGA